GTTAAAGACAGACTCCCAGTCCTCCCAGTCCTGCTCTCGGATTAACTGAACATTCTGCTCCTGTTAGGGTTAAACCATCAGCTCATTAGAGCCCTGCAGGAGGGTGGAACAGTGGTGTGAAGGTCTGCAGAGGTTTCCTACCACAGCACCATCAATTACACCTCAACAGGGAGATTTAAAGAGCTGAAGAGATGAAGCAGAACCGTGTCAGAGCAGAACAAGTGCTAAAATATGCAATTCTTCAAGGGTCCTTTAGTAGAGTCAATGGTTCTACATAGAACACTCGAACCATTTGCAGGTTTAAATGTTTTTCTGGATGGTTAAATTGTTCATCAGACTGATAGAGAATGTGTTGGAGAATGGTTCTATATAGAACCTCTTTGAAAATGATTACAAACCTAGGGCCATTCTCTTTACTAAAGAACCCATCAAGAACCATTGTTAAGAGTGTGGAACCCTTTTTGGTGCCATATAGAACCATTTCACCATACAAGGACCCATTTAAGCATGCAAACCGTTCTACAAAGAATTCAGGTTTCTAAACAGAACCACTCCCTTTACTGAAGAACCCTTGAAGAGCCATCTTTAAGAGTGCAGAACCCTTTCTGGTGCTACACAGAAACATTTCACCATGTGAAGAACTATTAAAGCAGGCAAATACTTCTATATCGAACTCATGGTTCTAAACTGGACTATTTCCTTTACTAAAGAACCCCCTGAAGAACCATCTTTTTAAGAGTGTGCTAACACAGATCCTGTGTGTTAGTTAGCTAATGTTAGGCCCAACAGGACCAGCACACAGAACCAGTTCCTCCGGTAAACATTACAGCGCTCATTCCTGTTTAGTGACACTAATCAGACCCAACAAACTCAGACCTGGTTCTGGATCAGTTCTGCTGGGAAACAGGTGGAGCAGCTCAGGTTAACAGGCACGAAGCTAAAGTCAGCTTCTTGTTTAATTCTCCGTTCCACCTTAAATGGCGCTGCACTTGCATTCAGGCGCCTCTAGCGTTATAATAACTGCTGCACCATTTAAGGTGGAACAGCGCAATTCGAACAAGCTGAGTTCAGCCTCGTCTAACAGGCTGAGCACTACCGATTAAAACACACTGATAAGCAGACATGAGCGCGAACAGTCTGAGCAGCGAGAGCACAGAATTCACTGTTAACCCAGCTCCGTGAAGTTCGACCCGAACTGTGACACAAACATCGCAGCTCGGTCGGGTTTAGCTTAGCCGCGCTAGCTTCACAGTCGCTGCCACACATTAGCATTAGCCTCCAGCGGCGGGATAAAAACACGACCGTCTGTTCGCGATATAAACACAAAACACAACCCGACCGAGAAACACCTTTAAATACGGAGATATTGAGCCGTTATCGCGGTGAAGCGCCCGGAGCCGCCGCCGCCTCCTCTTCAGCTACAACTTCGGAAGGAGGAAGTTTTCACTGCGAGCAGCGTTTGGCTTTGACCTCACACCTCTATTCAGAGGTGCCCCGCCCCTCGTGCGCTGCAATTGGCCAGGCGTCCCCCTGTATGCGCCACTATTGGCTCACAGCTCGCAGCCGAGATAGAGTAGTAACCAATCCAAGCGTACAAGGGGCGGAGCCCTCCGGAAAATGAGTGGGAAACAAAAAATGACGGGTGTCGGAGGAATCTTGTCGATGACGTCCGCCGGCGGACCAATCAGCTTGCTCCAAAAGAAGTCTCGAGTACGCCCCGCCCCTTCACTGTTGCCTAGGAGACTTAATGTCAACCTGGAAGCTGAATGGGGCGTTTTTACATCATTTTAACCTTTTAAATCGCGGCTCGAAAATAAATCAGTTTTCTTTACTGACTGTGAAGAACAGCGGGAACAGCGGGATCAGCGAGATCAGCTTTTAGAAAAGCTTTTAGAACCCTTTTTGGTGCTATCTAACGTTATAACCATTTCACCATGCAAAGAACCATTAAAGCATGCAAATGGTTCTATATAGAACTCGTGGTTCTAAACTGGACTAATTCCTTTACTAAAGAACCCCTGAAGAACCATCTTTTTAAGAGTGTGCTAACACAGATCCTGTGTGTTAGTTAGCTAATGTTAGGCCCAATAGGACCAGCACACAGAACCAGTTCCTCCGGTAAACATTACAGCGCTCATTCCTGTTTAGTGACACTAATCAGACCCAAATGGACCCTAAAACTAACAAACAGACCTGGTCTGAGTTGGTTAGTGGGACCGGATTCTCTAAAGCTTCCTTAAGAAAAAACTTGCGAAGGTTCTTAAGACAAACACTAAGGAGAGTTCATAAGAATGTTCTTAAAGGCAATTCCCAAAGAAAATAAAAATAATAAAAAAATTAAGAAGTTTTCAAATCTTCCCTTCAGAAAGTCTTAATGATTCCTTAATATTTTCTTTAGAAAATCTTTATTTTCTTGTGTCAGCTCTGTTGATTTTACAGCTCACCATAAACAATGAACGGTTATTTCTGTTATTTAGTTTAATCTGCTCAAGAAAACAGAGGAAAAACATCAAAACAGGCATTTAAAATTTTTAGCAAACAATTTCATTTAACTCTGAGCAAAAAAGAACGAAAAAACTTGATGAGTGAGGTTTCAGAAACAGTCCTTATGTGTTCAAACACAGATCAGTCCCAGCGCTGTCAGCCTTTCGGCTGAGGAAAGTAAAAGCTAGCTTTAACCTGCTAGCTGGCTAATGTGCTAAATATTACTGTTAGCTGGCAAGTCATGCTAGCTAACCTTTCGAGAGCTGCAGTGTCTGAAAACCCTGGATTTGTTCTTTCAAGCTCAGAAAGACAAATAACTCAGAAGTTGATAGGTATTTAGAGTTTATTCATGTATTGAGTTTTAGATTTCGGGGGGTATCGGGGGGATTCGGGCGGGGGGCTTTGCACGCTGACCCAGAGCTTCACACCGAAGGTCGCAGAGTTCTTTAACTGATGTTTTCATGTATTGTTGAGTTTTTAAATGAGTGTTTGTTATTTGGACGCCAGCTATTCCAAAGAGGGGATTTTGAATGATTTGGGTTCTACGTCGTATTTTCTGTGATCCTGGGAAGTTTGTCAAATTCAGTCTGATCCCTTCTTACAGGTTAACCTCGAACCTCAAAAACATTTTTAAGAATTCATTTATGGAATTTTTCTAATGAACTCTTTAGTCACTTATTGTTTTGATGAAATTAGATGAAAACATGAAACTGGAATTTTTTATTCCATAGATAAAAACAGTGGATATTGTTATTATATTTAATGATATGTGGGTCACTGTTTTTGGACACTTTTTCCTGAGTCTAAAAATGTAATAATTTGTATTTGACTGCAAATAAAGTAAATAAAGGGGGTCTCTACTTTTGGCACAGTACTGTAACTGTGTTCAGTGTAAACTGTTATTACATTTAATGTATTATTTTATGTATTTTCAGTCTGTAAGTCAAAGAATAAGTTTGATTGATTGGAGGTGATGACGGTGCTTTTACACTCTGAGCGCATATCTACATGAACAGCTGATGTTTGTGAGGGAGAACTGCTCCCCCTGCTGGACAACACTGCTCAACCACGCTCACCTGCACACTGAGCTGAGAGGATAAACTGTGCATTTAAACTGCTGGGGTTTAGAGTGAAATAAAGCAGCTGTGCAAAAACATCAGTTTCAGATGAAGCTGTTTCAGATGAACAACTGCTGTAGGCTGGATGGGCGGGGCTAATCTGCTGTAGGCTGGATGGGCGGGGTTAATCTGCTGTAGGCTGGATGGGCGGGGTTAAACTGCTGTAGGCTGGATGGGCGGGACTGTGTGGACTTTAACAGTCAGGAAAGTTCAGTTTTTTATGGTATGGCTCTTTAAATTCAGTGTTAATAGCGCTGGTGTTTGCTATATTTGTTTTCCTCCAAAACTAAACCCACTGTACATCACACTGACCACAGAAACACAGATCACCGTCACAGTAAAGCCTGTTTAACACTCTAAACACTGTAGAGCTCCTTCAGGAGGGAAACATCTGTTTCTGATTCTCCCAGACGAATGTAAACAGTCATATTTAATACAGGCACACTTTAAAAAATAAAGCCTGCATCTTAAAATAAACTTAATGCAGCTGTCAGAGCCTTTATTACACTGCGAAACACGCAGATCATCTGCAGGTTAAAGAGCTGAAACTGCTCTTTATTGTTTTTAATGTTCTGCAGGAGAGTTTATCTAGAACCTTTCATAGACTGTGCTCATTCTGAGTGCTTTACAAACATAAAGTAAAAAAGAATAGAAATGAAAACATGATTAAAACAGTAGATTTTAAAAGAGAAATTAACAATTAAATTAAAGCTCAGATTAAAGATGAAATTATGATAATAGAGCAGCGTTAGAGGAGAGAAGAGCAGCAGAGCTAACAGTGTTTAAACTGAGCTGAAAGCTGCTCTAACAGAAACGTTTTCAGGCTGATTTAAAGTGTCCAGTGTCGGGGCTCTTCTAATGCTCTCTGTCCACTGGGTCCATTTAAGAGACACATCATCAGAAGGGGGCATAAGGTCTTTCAAGCGTAATGTCTGCTCTGTAGGACAGCAGGCATGTTTACTGCAGAAGTGCTGATGGGTAAAAGTTTCGTTTCAGCCCGAGTTTCTCTTTAAAGTCGTTTCCATGTTCAGCGTCTTTGCTGCTTCACTGGAACAAACCCAGAATAACATGATTACACAGTTCAGAGTCGTTCTGATATTAAAGCTCTCAGACTGACAGAAGTGAATTAGAGATGTAGTTTTATTACAGTGTGATTAATAAATTCACTCACTACAGGCCAAAAGAGTGGAAACACACACAGTGTCAGATATTTTACACAATTAAGTCAATTTATGACAACAACAACAACAACAATCACCACACCACAACATGGTTATTATCATCCAGCAGGAAAAACACTCTGTTTCTGAAAGCAGTGAACAAAATTACAACTCATTAATTCAGAGATAAGTAATTATTTTAAAGTAGTTAGTCAGAATTTCAAGATAATGTCACATTTATAACAGAGTAAGATAGAATTGTGATACAATAGGTCATCAGTTTTAGAGAATAAGTCATCATTTTGAGATAAACCTCAAACTTTTGCTGTGTTTACACTTAATAATCAGACAAGACGTGATATAAACGTAACGTAAAACTCATGAGAGGCTTTTTTTGTAAAAACATCGGTCACTTTATCTGTAAATATGAACATCGTCATCTAGAAGATGAAGAATATTTAAATCCTTCATTTGGTCGAGTGTGTATTCGGTTTCAGTGCTGCTCCAAAAGTGCTGTGTTAATGTCGCGGTTTCTGTGTTAGACGCTGCGTTAAGCGTTGTGTTAGACGCTGTGTTACATGCAATGCTGTGTTAAATGCTGTGTGAAACGCTGCTCGCTGTTTCCCGGACGACGCTCTGTTTTCACACATGCTCAGACTGAGGGAAACGAAAGAAATCAGAGTGAGAGTTTACACTGAGAAACCCTTTTACTGACTCAGATCCAGCCTCATTATCAGATTTACTAATCAGATTTATAGACCTTAATCTGATCTAAGAAATCAGAGGGTTTACACGACCACTTAATAATCTGAACATTGCAGAAATTAGATAATGATTGGATTATTAAGTGCATGTAAACACACTCAGTGTAATAATTAAAAACACATTCGTGTCTGTAACTCTGGAACAATACAGTTTTTACTGTATTGTAGGTCACACTTTTGGCCTGTAGAGAAACATAGCAGTAAAATGCAGTAAAACAAAACAAATATAATATATATTACATCATATCATTACTCTGCGCACATTCTTCTCCATTAATGTCCATTTGTCTGAGTTTATGAAACAAAAACATCATAAGTCATAATTCATTTTTTAACGACTCTTTTTGTCTGTTACAGTTAAATAGGCTGTTTCTGCTACTGCGCCTTTAAGATTGATATATGCAAATGAGCTCTGTTCTGATTGGTTGCCTCATTCTATGTAAATGTGTCCATTTCTGTGACATCACAAAAACAGAGAGCAGTTTGCTTTGAACGGTACGTTTTGAAACAATGTTTGCGTTTCGAATGTGTGAGGGACTTTGTTTTTGTGCTATCAGCCCTTCAAAGAGGGATGATGTCACTCAGAGGTTTTTACTGGACAGTCAGCTGATGTACTGAGCGCCCCCATGTGGAAGGATCTCAGAAACCCCCCAGCCAATCACGTCCCCCCTCTGCCCACAGGCTCCGTCCTGATTGGCCAGTTCTCGGATCTGTTCCGGGTCCAGCGCGCGGCTCCACATGTTGACGGCGGTGATTTTCCCGGTGAAGGCCACCGTGGCGTCCATGTCTCTGTACATTCCTGAGGAGCTCTTCTCCTGACCCAGCAGGACGGCGCCCCCCTCAGGCAGCCTGCGGCCCTGTGCCACTGCAGAGGAGCCCGACACCTGCCGACCGTCTACCCAGAGTGAGGCCACGCCCCCTTCTGACCTCCACAGCCCGCAGTAATGTCTCCACCGACCCTCCGACCCCGAGCTGGCCGCCCGGACTGTGCCCACCTCGCCGCCCACTGTGAAGATCAGCATATTCCTGTTCAGCAGAAGCTGCAGCTCCTGAGGGTTCCTCCTGCTGCTGTAGGAGAACAGCACGGTTCTGTCCAGCGCCTCAGTCACTCTCACCCACAGACAGACCGACAGAGCGGTCAGAGAGAGAGAGGGAGACAGAACAACCTCCGCAAAACTGTGCTTAGAGCGCATCGGGAACAATAGTGCCATCTCACAGCCTTCAACACAGAGAGAGAGAGACAGAGAGAGAGAAACAGAGACAGTGAGAGAGAGACAGATAGAGAGAGAGAGAGACAGATAGAGAGAGACAGAGAGAGAGAATGAGACAGAGAGAGAGAAAGAGACACAGAGAGAGAGAGACAGAGAGAGAAACAGACAGAATTCATAGCAGATACTGAATAATTCATAATGGATGCTGAATAATTCACAGTGGGTCCTGGATGGAGACTAAGGTCAGGCAGGCTCTGCATGCTGTTTACCTGAGGGCAGGTATCGGTGGGCGGCAGCCCGCTGCAGCAGAGTGAGCTGTGTGTGAACTCTCTGTAGATCTGCTGCTGTGGCCATCAGCACTCGCTCCAGCTTTCCTGCATCCACTCCCGACTCCTGCTGGCTCTTCATCATCACCTGGCCCAGGTAACCGTTCTCCAGCTTCTCCAAACGGGAGGCCTGCAGCCCCGTGAAGTTCTCCAGCCGCTGGAGGGCGGAGCTACACTGAGCCTGCAGCCTATCAGCTGCCTGCTTTACCTCGTCTACCGCTGCATCCAGCTTGAGGTCCAGCTTGCGGTCCAGCTGCTGACCTAAAGTGCTGCAGGACTCCTCCAGCATGGAGCTGCTGCAGGACCTGCTCTGGATCTCCTCTCTGAGGTTCCTCATCGTCTCCTCACCAGCTTCCAGGATCATGTTCTGCCTCATGTGGGAATCTTCCAGCATGGTGAAGAGCTTATCCCAGCGAGACTGATCACGACCCCCACACGGACTGGAGGTCACCGCTGCATCAGGAAACATCTATTATTGCTTTATACGCTCAGATATTTAACATATGTTACACTGTAGAATCCATTCATAGTTGCTGAGTAATTCATAGTAGATACTGAATAATTCATAGCAGTTATGGAATAATTTATAACAGTTATTAAAAAGTTTATAGTATAATTCAATACCTAATTCAAATTTAAATCATTTCTCCATAATTAACTGGATGAGATGTAACCAGAGAGGTTCAGAGTGGTTCAGAGTGGTTTGGTGTGAAACGCTCTGTTCTAGATAAACTTACCGAGTCAGAACTGTTCACAGTGGTGGTGATAGGAACCAGACGTCCACCTCTAAAAGCTCCCTCACAGAACCATTTCATGTTTTCTTACATGAAATGGTTATGAATTCACTGCCTGATGACTGAGACACTGTTTTATGATAGTTTAGAGAACTTAAACTCCGTTCATGGTGGAGGGATACATGCAGGGCGCTGTGAGGCAAAATAGTCCCCAAAGAAAACTTATTATTTCAGATTCTCCACTATTTTCCATCATCAACATTCCATATAAACTCAGAAGACTCATGTAGGTTCACTGGTGGTTCTGGATAGTAACTAAAATATCTATATTTGTGTTGTAGTCATGGCGACCCCTGGTTCCTATCACCATTGAAATTTAAATATGGTGGAATTCCCCTTTAAATTCCCAAGAGTTTCACAAGCTGGTGTCAAAGTAGAGGCACGTTTAAGGCAGCACTGCTGTATTTCTGCTGGAAGACTTAAAGATCCTGACAGTGAACAGCAGAGATGTTTGTCATCAGTTTAAATCTCTGATACAGAACTTTTAAAATTTTTTAGGTCTATATTGTTTTAATTACAGTCACCTGTCAGCTGTAAACAAAGAAAAGCAGCTTAAAATCTACTTAAATACTTTTAGCATCTTTCAGTGTTGGAGCTATGAGGGTGAAACTGGTTTGTCATGTAATTTTTTTCTGTTCCACCTTAAATGGTGCAGCTGTTAAATTTAAATGAGAAGCTGACTAATAGGAACTGAGTTTGTTAGAGTCAGTTCTTCACTTTTTGAGTAAAAGTATAAATATTATTGTGCATTAAACATACAGAATCACAAACCCATCAGACGTAAACAGAACTGAGCAAACAGAACCGGTACCTTCTCTCCACTCAACTGGAGAAATTAATTTCAGAGTGAAATCAGAGAAGCGTGTACCTTCCTGCTTTCCTCCCTCTGAGATGTCGTTATAGTAGGAATCTGAATAGTCCCTGTAGTCATAGCTCAGTCCAGTCAGCATGCAGGGCAGCCACAGCAGCCACAGGCTCTTGGTGAGATCCATGCTGTGGTCACTTCTGCTCCGGTTCTTGTCCCGCTTGCTGTGTCTCACCGTCCAAATTCCTCCTGTGCTGCTGCCGACCGGTGCTTTGGCTGCTGGCCCTTGGCCTGGAACACAGTGAGCATGTAGGGGGCTGAGAGGCTTTTAAATACGAGCTGCTGAGTCTCCACCAAGAAGCAGTGCGTGTGGGGAGGGAGTGAAACTCGGGGGAGGGGATTCCCTCCATACAGACCTCCAGCCAAGGAGAAAAGAGTGAAGGAATATTTAGGAAGTACACAGTTCTCTGGTCTGGAATAACAGCATCCTGGACTGAGATAATTGGGCTAATGTGTCCTGGACTGGACTAATGGGTCCTGGAAAGGGCTAACAGCAGCCTGGGCCTTTAGGGCCAGGACTAAGGTAATAGGATACAGGATTGGGCTAGCAGGGTCTGGGCTGGTCTATCAGGCTCTGGACTGGGCTAATGGTGTCCTGGAGTGGGCTATCAGGGTCTGGACTGGGCTAATGTGGTCTGGACTGGGCTAACATCATCCTGGAATGGGCTAATAGGGCTCGGGACTGGGCTAACATTGTCTGGACTGGTCTAATAGGGTTCTGGACTGGGCTAATGTGGTCCGGACTGGTCTACCAGAGTCCTGGACTGGGCTAATAGGATCTGGACTGGGCTAATGGGGTCCTGGATTGGGCTTATTTGGTCTGGAATGGGCTAACATGGCACTGGACTAGAATAGCATGGTCCTGAACTGGCTTAATAAGGTGCTGGGCTATCAGGGTCTGGGTTGGTCTAACAGGATCTAAACTGGGGTAACAGGGTCTTGGACTGGGCTAACAAGGTCTGGACTGGGCTAACAGGGCCTGGAGTGTGCTAACAGCATCCAGGACTGGGCTAATAGGGTAATAGACTGGGCTAAGAGGATCTGGACTTGTCTAACAGGATCTGAACCGGGTTAACCAGGTCCTGAACTGGGGTAACAGGGTTCTAGACTGAGCTGATAGGGTCCTGAACTGGGATGAATCTGTGTAACATGGCTAACAGTGTTAAATCTACAGTTCTTTGTTTAGTAGTTCAGTGATTAGCTCAGTAAATAGAGTTGTGCTTAATCTTGATCAGTGTTTTAAAACGCCTCTGTCATGTTACAGAGATACTGTAGAAAGAGGAGTGAGCATTGTGAGTATTAGCTGTGGGAGCCTGTGGGTGATTCTGAGAGTGACCTTCTGGAATCTGTGCTAGAGAGACACACTGACCAAGCAGAGTTCTGAGAAGCTTTAAAATCGTAATGGAACGAGCCACAGGCAACAGCAGTAAAGTGGAATACCAGGAGTTATTTGATTGGTGGAGTCAGTCAGAGTTTACCTGCAGGCTGGACACACAGGTAGAATGATGGAAAAATAATAGTGGACATTATTGAGATTTTTATTTGCAGAAGATGAACAGGAAGAGAACAAATAAATGTCTGTAGACTGGGATTAAAGAGCAGACAGTACATACAAGGAAATTAAGCCCACTTTAAATTCACTGTTTTTGTGAAGTCACAGAAAACAACTAATTTACATATATCCACCTATTAAGCCTACAGTAGTTTAGCCCCACCCATTCATACTGACTATTAACACAGGAACTATGAAGCTGAAATTGGCTTCTCATTCAAATTTTCTGTTCCACCTTAAATGGTGCAGCTGTTACGTTCAGGCTCCTCAGGCTGAGAGATGCTGGATGTTCTAAGAAGTTCCACTGTGGTTCTTAGTTTTTCAGCACTTAAGCAGCTTTTTGAGCTGTGACTTCTGTACCTCAGGATGTTTTTGGAACTCTAGTCGTTGATGGACGGTGGAGGAAAATCCTTAAAGCAGTTAAACTCTCCCACACTGAGCTGGCTGGGTGTGTAACGTCTGTAGAGTTATGAGGGAACATAAAGCACCTTTTTACAGAGTTCTGGTCAGTTTTAGGGGTTTTTCTTGTGAATCAGAGGCGTTTTAGTCATGTGCTGAGAGACACACATGTTTCCAGAACTGATGAACCACTCGCTGCCTGGACACAAGAACTACTCTAATGAAGAACCTTCAGAACTTAAGCAATAATCTCTGCGTTACACCTTAACAAACACCAGCAGTGAGCTGTGACTATCAGAGCTAGGCCTTCAGTTCAGGCTATAAATGTCAAGACTTGATCAAAAACTAGCCAAAAAAAACACCTCTACAGTGATGCCGCTAGCGCCCCTATTGGGTACTACTAGTATGTTAGCACTAAGCTAACGCTGGTGCAGATGAACCTATTTTGGCTGTTGTACATTAAACATGAACATTTCAAGTTTGAACAATTGAAGAATTTCATCTGAAGATTGTAACTAGAACTGCCATGACTGCATGATCAACACTGATTAATTACAAAAAATAATCAATTAAAATGTACATTCTCTATGAACCAGCTTAGTCATTAATGTGCAGTTTTTAATGATGAGCAGGTAATCTGCAGGACATGATACAGCCATGTTTGCAGACTGAAGACTCTCCACAAGGGCGAGCTATTAGCACGTCTCACTGAAAAAGAGGAAGCCCACACCAGCAGGATCTCACTAATGCAGGATATTTGTATTCACAAATTTCATGAATGCAAAGTAAAATCAAACGTCTGCTGATTCAGACTGTGTGCATATATGAAGTAAAAGGTTTTTAATTAGGTTTAGGCTGAACAGCTCTGCAGACAGCTAACAGGCCAATAGGCTAACAGGCTTCTCAGTAATATTTCCTGTTTTACCGTAAAATTACAACATACAGAGTAAAAATATGACACCTGAAAATTTCTTAGTAGCTTCAAATGCTTTGAATGTCTGCATTTAAACAGAGCAACCTTAAACAGTATTAAATCCCTGCACAGGAAATTAACACTGCTAGCTTGGTGCTAATTGGAAATTAGCATTATCATAGCGGTTTTACACAATTAAATATGGCATTTCTCTGCAGATTGTAGTGCTCAGTTTCTATTTATTTGCTTTGTTTAACACATTGGAAATAAATAAGTATTAAATAAACAAAATGTGCCACAACATTTACACAATTATTATTTTTTCCAATATGTTGAACTGAGTAAATAAACAGTATTTATGTTTTAAAATATGTGTCTCTGTAGAAGATGTGTGACTTATTTACACTCTTATTTACACAAACTTTTGCACATGACTGTATATAATGACCTGCGCAGCCATGAAAAGGTGAATTAATGACTGACTCAAAGCAGAAATAAAGAGTTCTCAAAATAGTAATATATGATTTAAAGGCATTAAACAAAAATAATCTGATAGTATTAAATACATTATATTATATTATATTATATTATATATTGTTATAATTTCTTTGATGGTGAGAAACAGAATCTGATGGATTCACATTTATCTGTGTTTTTTGATTTTATATTAAATATAAAGGTTTCTGTTTTATATATTTTCAGTTGAGTGTTGTGGAATCTGTGTATTATTTAGTTAGGCTCATTTTTATTGTTTGGTCTTTAAAAAAACATCAAAATTATCTTGAGATTCCTCAATTACTGATATAATCAATACATATATCTGATTTTGTATGTATTAGTGTTACAGTACTCTCTCAGTATAGAGCTGCAGCTGCTGTTTAACATTCATAACAATAACCAGAACCTGCTTGGACTACGACTCGTATTCACAATCAAGACGTATCTAAAGCTTTCAGACGTCCAATCTAACAAAATTGTAAATCAGAGTGTGATTGGTTGGTTCCTCTGTCACTTCCTAATTATGTTGGTAGTTAATCTGACGTGTAAGGCCTTCAGTTCAGCTCCTGAAGATCTAACCAATGAGAAAGTAGCTCAGCTGAATCTACTTAGATACCACAGAGAGAACAATCCCGTTCGCACGATTTTCTTTTGGGTGTTTCAAAATTTTAACCCTTTTGTTTCCAACCAAAACTGAACAGTGTAATAAGATTATTACTGCAATACTTACAGAGTTTAAACCCAACAAGCCTGATGATTCTGTTAAATATAAATGAACTAAAAATCATTAAACATTCTCTGAAAATCTAGACGACGCTGAGGGTTCTTCACCATCAGCCTTTTCAGTATATTTAGTAAATGAAGCTGGAAGGTGGAGCTTTTCTAACTTTACAGTAAATAAAGTGATAAAAACTGTGGAGCCTCTGAGGAGCTGAGAGTGTTTCAGGATTCTGAGAGATTCACTCAGAGCTACTCGGTTTAGCCTCAGTTACGCCATTTAGATAAATAAGATAATAAATCGTTTCAGTTAAAATGGTGATTTACGCGCAGCTGAAATGCAGAGTGTTGAAAGACCCGACCTTCTGCTCTGCATTACAGACGCAGCTCAGCTCAGGGTTCAGTACTACAAACGTCCCTCAGAGAGAAAATCAGCTCAGCGTAAATGACATACGCGGTATACACTGAGGGTCCATCAGTCCACGCTCTACAGTCACACCTGCACATTTTAACACACGTTTACTCAGTTTAACAAATAATAAAGCATAAAATATGGCCTGTCCAAAAGTTATGGCACATTTTATATGGGGGACAGCCTGGCTCTCATTCTGCAGGACGGTCAAATGTTTTTCTCACAAAAAAAAAGTGATTGATACATTTGGCCTGGGCTCTTATCCAGAGATAAATCAGTTCTATATGAATTATTCTATACTGCAGTCCAAACTGCAGTTACACAGTAAACAAATTATTTAAAAACAACGATGTTTTCAGATCTTAGATATTAAAACATTCTGTTCTAATGTTTAAACTGAAGACATTAATAGAGACAGTAATAAACTAAATATACACATCATCATTTATAGGATTCTGTCTGTTGGGAGGAGATGGTCCCAAACCCAAACCCCTAAACTTACACTTCTGAAAGTAATACCTACACTCTCAAAAAGATGGCTCTTTGAGGGTTCTTAAAATGGTTCTGTACAATGGTTCTGATTAGCTCTAAATAAGGACAAATTGCCCTTCTGTTCTAAAGGGTTCTAGCTAACCTGCACTAAGATTAACTCATGTTAGACTCTGTGATAAAGTGCTAATGGCTGGAGAACTCAGCTGAGATGAAGATCATCAGATGAAGAAAGCTGGATCTCT